TTAGGGTTTTGGGGTTTTAGGGCTTATGGCCTCTACCCCATTCGGGTGAGGGCTTGTGGCTTTCGGGTGAAGAGCCAGCATCCCCCACCAGTCAGAGAGGCACTATGACCGATGTTACAACCCCGCCAAAGAAGCGCAGGCGCGTGGTGGGTTCAGAGTTTCGGGTTCAGGAGCATGGATGTTCAGGGCTTTGACATACTGGCAAGTAGGGCTTGGTTGCGTTACAGGTTGGATTGCGTCAGAACCTGGGATGTGGAGATTCCCAGTGCTTCGATCAGCTTCTGTGTATCTAGGCCATCGTGCTCGACAGCCAGCTCTGCCGTCCCAGTGCTCGGGTAGTTATTAGCATGAACTCTCAAAGAAACTTAGTACTAAACCTTAACCCTAAACTCTGAAAGCCTTACAAGGCTAAAACCTAAACCCTGAATTAGCCCAAAAGCCTGTTAAGCCAAATCCATGAGTCGAGAGCTTGGAAGTTGTCATCACCGAAGAGCCCAGAGCCCTAAACCCTACAGAATGGACCACTAACGCTGAACCCTGAACCCTAAACCCTAATACAGGGGCTTAAATAATTACCAGGTTATTTTGGGGGTTCCTTATTCGAATTAGAGCATACTGTTACTATACCCCCAAACCCTATTCTAATTATTAAGGCCCCTACATTATGGCTTTATCCCTCAACTGCAAACCAAGACACACTAAACCTTAGCCCATACGCTAGCCTCAAATGCCAAGCCCAGCACTGGATTGCTGCAATTTGCCGCCAGTGCACTGACCGTGCACATCGCATCGGTCAGCACCGGACGGTGACTGTGCACACTTTGACCAGCCAGGCGGTTTGGGGTTTCGGGTTAAGGGTTTCGGGCGAAGGACTGGATGTGAAGTCATCAGTGTATGGGAGCCCATATGTGCATACACACGTGTTTCTTTAATGGGGCCGTGAGAGGATTTCTGTCAGGATTTCTACAGAGTTTCGATGAGCAAGGGCTTTCACGACTCCAAGTTCGGGGCTTGAGGCGAGGTCACGTAGCCTTTGTCTAGGTCGGTTTCGGGATTTTCGAGTTTAGAGTTCAGGGTAAACCCCAAACCCTAAACCCTAAACCCTAAACCCGAAACCCTGAACCCTAAACCCTATACCCCAAAGCCGAAACACTGAACCCTAAACCCTTAACCCTACTTGGTGGGATGGGGTTAAGGGCTCAGGATTTGGGGGCGTAGGGCTTGTTGGTCTCGGTCTTCCGAGTTCTTTCAAAGGGAGACCTATATGGGTTCCTGTGCATGTTCCATAAGAGGGGTTCAGGGTTTCGAGACGACCCGAGAATTTGTCACAAATTTCCCTAGGGCTCCATGTGATAAGCATATGGGTTTAGGGTGCAGGGCTTTGGGTTTAAGGTTTAGGGTTCCGGGCTTAGGGTTTAGCAAGGATTTGCAGCTTTTGGCAGCGCAATATGCAACCTAGACTTGAAACCGGGCGCACTGTTGTATGGTGTCAAATGTAGGGCGTAAAGCCTTAAATCCTAAACACTAGCCTAATAACTGTCAACCATAAACCCGCAAACGCTGGACTCAGAAGGTCTTTGAATTAACGTGGCCACTCACCGACTTAAAATTGTGGCGGAAGGATTCTTAGGGCTTTCTTGTCTTTGGCAGCCTCCACGGAGGTCCGACATATTTCATCCGAACGCCTTAAGGCCTTGAGCCGCAACCCTAGGAGCCGGAGCTTACCCAGCATTGCAGGACAGCTTCGAGGCACGATTGGACGAGATCATGCAGCATCCCGGCCATGCAGATCAGAGCATCTCCGACTTCAGGTTTCGGATGTAGAGCCGAAGCAAGAAGCCTACGAGTACCGTTGCTAGAGAAGGCTGAAGCAGAGCTGCACAAGACCCCCACAAACCCCCAAACCCTAAACCCTTACACCCTAAGCTCTAAACCCCTAAACCCCAAGTCTATTTTCAAGGCCATAAACCCTGAGCTGGACCAAGGCTAAGGAATAGTGTCCCCTTCTAGTAACCTCGAAAATGATGCTATCATATACCCAACTTGACGTTGCTATACAGCTTTCTATAAGGGTTTCTTGAAGAGGCACCAAAATAGGCACTGTAAAGGTGGCAGGCTTCCATAAGGGTTCAAGTTTTCTGTGACTTCTCCCAAACCTTAAGCCCCACTATGCATCGGAGCTTACCGTACACCCGACAGCGGGCTAAGGCTTGAGGACGTTAGGCTCTTGAGCCCTCAGTTTTGGAGGCCCGGACCTCCAGCGAGGACTCCAAGTTTAAGCCGCCAGAAGCCCCCAGACCTACAACCCCTCAAACCCACCCTAAACCCTAAACCCCAAAAACCCTAAAACCCTACAACCGTAAAGCCTGAAACTTCAAAGCCCTTAAACCCTAAACCCTAAAACCCTAAAGCCCTAAAGCCCTAAAGCCCTAGTCCCTAAAGCCCTTAACCCCTAAGCCCTAAACCGGGCCCTAAACCTTAAAAAGCTGCAACGCCTCAAGGAGCCCTCGAACATCCCAAGGCCCGGGTCAAAAATGCGCTACGCCCCATCCCGCTGCCGCTCAAACTTCGAGGTCCCCATATGGGTAGTGCTCTAAAATAGGGTCCCCTTTAGGGGTTTAGGGTTTAGGGGTTTAGGGGTTTAGGGGTTTAGGGTTTAGGGTTTAGGGTTTTTTGCTCTAAAATATGGTCCCTTTTAGGGGTTTAGGGTTTAGGGGTTTAGGGGTTTAGGGTTTAGGTTTTGTTTCTGGGGTCCCTTATTAAACCCAAAGAGTAGGAAAAAGGGTGCCCTTATGGTTAGGGGTCTATTGGGGAACCTGGTTTAGGGTCCTTTTCAAAAGGGTGCCGTACTACATTGGGGACTGAAAAGGGGGCCCTAATTTAGAGAACTACCCATATGGAAACCCTGACCATATCTTACACCTGTAAATCCTAGTCCTAGTGGTTCTAGTATGTAATCGGGTCCTCAGAATGAGGATCATCTTGATACCTCCTAGATCCTCAGCCCAAAACCCTAAACCCTAAACCCTAAACCCTAAACCCTAAACCCCAATCCCAACACCCTAAGCCCAAACCCTAAACCCTAAACCCCAAACCCTACAACCCCTAAGAGCTCCCGGACCCTCGGGCCCCAGACCCTAAACACCATAGCCCTTTTAATCAAATTGAAGCTGGGAGGAACCCGTATAGAAACCGAGAGCCTAAGACCCCTATATAGAGAGCCTTAAAGCCTTCAACCCTTGTAGAACCGGACAGCCCCTAAACCCTGAAAGGCTCACAGCCCTAAACCCTGATAGCCTTAAGCCCCTAAATCTTACTAGAACCCTACGATCCTTATAGGGCGTTGGGAAGGAACCCTAAAGCCGTAAAGCCGAGGCGTAAGCGGCACCTGTCCGACATCACCTCGAGCTCCAGCGAAGGGCTCAGCTTCGCTGCGCCTTAGGGCTCGCTTTTCAGGCAGTTCAGGGCCCGGAACTTTTTTCTACGGTCTTCTATGATTCTATACATAAGGTCAGCACGCTTTATTTTCATTGGTGATCTGGGCTGCGTTAACATATATTTTACGTGGCAGGCGTGGTACTTTTGGTTCTAAGCCGTGTTCCGAGCCTTCAAAAAAACTAATCATGCCAGGGGCCAAGAGCCCAAACTGCAGCGTGTTGATGAAAGTCTTCGACACATGTCCGTCATTAGCCCCCCCCCCCCTCACCCCCCCCATCCCCCCACCACGGCAACCCCGAAAGCAAGAGAACGAGCCTGAAACAATAATGACGTGCGAAACAGCAAGGACAACACCAGGGAAAATAAGGCGCGCCGGCTTTCTACAAGGTTGACCTTGAACCCTTGTCTAGCTGACGGTGAGCTGCAACCGTCCAATATTCCAAGCTCTAAACCCTACGTGCAGGCTCCATTTTGGTTCCTTGCTGTTCAGCCACTCTACATTTAGGATCCCATAATAAAAACACATGGTAGCCCCGATCAGGGACTCCATTGGAGAGTATAGGTACTCTAAACCCCAGAGCAAAGACACGAAATTGGGCGGTCGATACGATCTAGTGAAGGTTCTTATTCCGCGGTCTGTTTGGGAGCCACACGACCTGTCCATTGTTGAACATCGCTTGCGAGAGTAGAATGCCGAGGGGTTTTCTGGGTCGAGGGTTTCAGGGATTCAAGGGTTTTGCATGATTGAAGTCATAAACCCTAAATCCTAAACCCTAAGGCTTTAGGCTTTTAGGGCTTTCCCGCTGCTTTGGATCCTTAGGGTGCTTTTCACGGCTTTCATGCTCTTATCAGAGATGACCCCAACTTTGCAAAGACCTTTCTGCAGGGAAGCTTCGATGTAGGAGGATGGACGTGGTAGGTGCAGTTGCTCAGCCATGAGGAAGGTAGTTGGAATGAACTTCTACCTGTGCCCCCCCCCCCCC